TTCTTGGAAAATTGCATATCTACCTTAGAACTTGAAAGTTGTTTCTCCAAATCGAAGGGGAAGACACCTGGTCTAGACCGCATCTCCTACCAAATGATCAGGGCGCTGTTTAATTCAAGTAAAGAGAAATTACCGGACCTATGTAATACGGTATTTTTGACTGGCCATATACCCTACATGCGGAAACTGGCAGCAGTTGTTCCAATTCCAAAGTCTAAAAATGTCTCCATCGCATCGGATTATCGCCCAATCTCTCTTTTATCTTGCCTCTCAAAGGTATTGGAAAAGATTATAACATCTAGATTATCTTGGTTTCTTGAATCCAAGAGCCTGATAACAAAGCAACAAGTTGGTTTGAAGCGGGGTAGAGGGTGCATCGACGCTCTGTTACATATTGATTGTTTTACAAGCAAAGCAATTTCCAAACGAAATCATGTAACAATGCTCTCGATTGATTTCGAAAAAGCATTTGAGAGTGTTGGTCTACACATTATTTTAAGATTCTTGAAATCATGGAATGTTGGATCCAAATTTTTCAACTACATCAAATCCTTCATGTCGCATCGGCGGTTTTAAGTTAGAATCAACAATCATCTCTTTGATTCCTTTCCGCTAATGAATGGTATTCCGCAAGGATCTCCTCTTTCTGTCACGCTTTTCCAGATCGCCTTCAACGAAATTAGCAAAATTCTTTGCCGTGTACCAAGAGTGGAACATTGTCTCTACGAGGACGATGTATACATTTTTACAAAAGAAAAAGACAACACGAAGGCAATCAACATCCTTGAATCGATTGCACGAGAGATCTCCACATGGGCAAACTCGTCAGTGGCTAAACTTTCTATACAAAAATCAAAAAAATGCACAATTGTCGAAAACAAATGTGCGATGCAGGAAACCTACTGATGCATATTAACGACTTACCAGTACTAAACGTGCAGACGCTGCATATTCTCGGGCTCACTTTTTCCAACAATTATCGTTGGAAAGCACACTGTCTTCGGTTAAAAAACTTTATTTTAACAAGAGTGAACTTCATACAGTACGTTGCTTGGAGAAGCCATGCGCATATTAACACTATTGCTTATCTTACCAAAATGCTTGTGTTAAGCAAGATTGACTATGCTTTGATAATTTATGGCAATAGCTTCAAATCTAATATCAACATCCTTAAACCGGTCGACCACCAAGCCGTCAGTGCAAGTTGTTATGCTTTTCGGACGACGCCCATAAATAATATTATAATTGAAACTGGTCTCCAAACTTTAGAAAATAGACTGCATGAGGTAAAAGCTAAAATAGTCCCCAAGCTTCTTAATTCAAACAAATCTATTCTCGGTGATGACGTAAGAAAGATTATTATTGCGAAGAAAATTCCAAAGTCACCATCTGCAATTGACCATTGTTTGTGCGTCGCAAAGGAATTGAGCATTCCCTTAAAAATTTCCCGCTCTTTTGGTGTTAAAGCTCCCTGGATTTTGAAAGACTGCTCTTTTAACATCTCACTGTCTATGCACAAGAAAGAAGATACTCCAAATTACGTCTTCAGGAATCTAATAGCTGAGAAAACCCAAGTATTGGACAATACTGGTTGGAATCTTTTGTACACAGACGGTTCAAAATCTTCTGGTCTGCCTCCCGCTTGTGCGGTGGTAGACGCTGCAGGACGGGTTCTTGTCAGCCACATATTTCACGAAAGTACTTCAACTTTCACAATCGAAGCCAGAGCTATCCTTCACGCTGCGAGCTTTGCCCATAAAAACAAACTCAAAACCGTCATTGTTACCGACAGTTTGTCTGTATTACAAGCTATTCGGAACCCTTCGACTTCGAGATGGAGCACCATCAACAAATTAAGGAATATAATTACTAGACCCGACGGAAAAATTAAAATGTTATGGGTACCAAGTCACATCGGTTTACTGGGAAATGAGCAGGCTGATCGAGCGGCAAAGTATGCTGCTTCTGCTCCTCTAATTATGGATGATGTCAGGGAAAAGTTGGATCTTCAAAGATACATTGGAAGAAAATTTAAAGAGAAAATTGCAGAAGGAAATTTACAATACCATCATCAACACTACTCTTCCATTATCCACCAATTAACTCCACCTTTATATCCAACAAATGTTGAGAAAACCAAGATCCATTTTCGAGAATTCGCCTTGGTCATACAATTGCAACTCACCAATGGATCCTGAAGAAGTCTTCTTCCCCAATCTGCTGTTGTGGACAAACTCTTACTATGAAGCATATTCTCTGCGACTGCCTCAACTTCGCCTTGGCTAGAAGTATTGCATTTGGAACGATCAACCCTTTGAACATTCTACAATCAGCTTCAGAATCGTATATCAATTCTATATATTACTTCATTAATACTACTACGCTCATTATCTAAAGTACATTTATTTAAATTAGAGCCGATAGCCTGTGTTGCTAGTGCTCAATGTATTTTTTTTAGTTTAAGAATTTATTTCATTAGTCTAAAATTAAAATAATAATAATAATAGTGAAGAGTGCAAACACTGCAAGTTGGTGTTATTTATCCAACACTTCTTTATTAACGGAAATATTAAAAGCAAATAAATCAATTCGGTTTATCGATAACAAACCAGCGTGAGAGTTGCGTACACATAAAGTATGTAGAAAAAATTATTGTCTAATCTTTATGCACATCACCGAAGGACGGAGATATGTTAATTTTACCAAGCGTTTCTAGCAGCTACAAGGGAGCTTCAGAGATGCCATAGAATAAATATATTCTTGAGCAGCATTAAATTCTGAATCTATTTATTTAACCCTGCCCGCCAACCAGTTTGTCTGTCAGTCGGTCCATGTGTGACCGTAATGTCTATGCTAAACAGTCTTCTATTTGCAAAAATAAAACTATCGACTTTACATTTGGTATTAAAAAGAAATGTAAACGGACAGACGCCCGCCCACAGTACGACATAAACTAAAAACACCTCTGTTTTCGAAATCCAAAAAATCAATCTTTTGCTTATTAGTCATATCCCGATATGTGTTAACATTTCCAGGTTATTTCGTATCTGTACAAGAGTGTAAAAAATCGGTCACGCCCTCTCAAACTATTGAATCCGATTAAAATTTCACTCTTTTCTTACTTTCTTTTTTTTAAAACATGGGTGGAAGGTGCTCGGCTCCTATCAAATATAATTTCCTTATATATATATGTAAAGAATTGAAATTTAAAACGCACACAAACATTTATTAATATAAAAAAATATTTTCGCATAGATTTGCCATATTTCACATTCTTGTACATAACTATGCCAAAAATTTCACTCAGGTGTATGTACATATGCCGAAAATATTTTTATATCCAAAGCAGGAGATATTTTAAATGCATCAAATGTTTATAATCCACAGAAGTACATATAAAAGACATAAAAAAGCTTAACATAAATTATGTTTGTCTGTCTCTTGGTTAAAACCAAAATTATAGTTCCTACGATACCTGATCTACATGAACTTGTGAGAGGCTTGTTTCCAGGTTTTTTTATAATATATATTGCCACCGGTTTATTTCAAACTAATCTATATTCACTTTGAACTAATCGCATAGTCATCCTGAAATCACCTACAGAACGCAATATAAATTTTAGCTTTTACTTTGTTAAAATTATTAAACTCAATACCTAATTTTCTTTTCTAAAATAGAGCCGAATCGCAATAATAATAATAATAATAATATATTCGCTTTAAAGTGAAACTTGAATATATATTATCACAATCTGAATTTGTTTTACGCAGATCCGTTGCCAAACTCTCGGGAATATTTGCACTAAGGTATTTTCAAAGTTTTCTTTACTCTTTTCCGAAAATTTGTAGACCCCATTCTTGCTTTAACGGTTTAGAGAGTACTGGTACGTTCTGGTATTTGCAAATGTGGCTCATCTAGAAATATCTGCTACAAATTGTAAGCTATTGTTTTTTTACCTATTTTCTGAGTTTGGAAGCACTGCTGTGGGGTGTCATCCCTATTTTCAATACGTAGCCTGTAGCCATCAACTAAGAATTTGTTTCATTTTTTTAACCGACGCAAGCGTACCAAAACGGCAAAAGACCAATGAATGGACATAATAAACCTAATCTACATTATTTGACGATCAAGAGCATGTGCATTTTACTCTGTTTCTGTCACACGGGCTGGTATAAACAGAAAGACGAAATGTAGATCGGGCCATAGATCCAACTTTAATTAATGAAAAGCGATAATTGCTTATTTTTTTCTTATGTTACGACGTAAATTTTACCTCCTTTTAAGTATTTATGCCATTTATTATTGATAAAAAGGAGATCCGCTTTTTTAAAATGGCAAAACGAAACTACAATTGGTGCAAATAATTTAAAAGCTTTGTCAGTTACATTACAAAAATAATATTTCAAATGTCGTCTATTCTTCATGTTTTGCTTCTTCCACACGTAATGGTACATAGATTAATTAAAAAATTCGCAGCGCGAGGATGGTAAAAACAAATTTCTCCCAAATATGGGAGATCGTGACTATGCAGGGCAAGTAGAAAAGGCTTCACATGGCTGCCATAAGAGACGCCTGACGCGATAAGAATTCATCAATGGTGATAGAGATATAAAGAACTTTAAATAATACGGACGATTGTAGTTTAGAATTAAATTAAAAGTCAAGAGATTATGATTAAATCTATTGAATGAGTGACAACTGATTTTGGTCGCTCATTTTGGTAAAACACTCGACTCAGCCAGACCTCTTCAATTCTCAGCGAAATTTCTATTTCCGCACTTAAGCAATGGGAAAAGAAAGTTATTCTTCCAACAGAATGAGAAACAAATGAAAATATTGTGGTCGGGCTAGGCCGACTATTAAGTACTCTACATCAGTTTGTCTAACACAATTCTTATTTTTGTCATATACCACTAAAATTATACCCTGTTTTTAAATGAACTTACTGTTATAGAACTGTATGATAAAAATTCGACCTCCTTGCAAATAAAAGGCTCACTTTCCGTAAGAATGATTGTATCCAAGGTGTTCAAAAATGAAGCATAATTAATTTTTATAACCAACTGCTGCTGTAGATCAATTTTCATAATGAAATATTAATTTTATTTAAAATTAAAATTATACTTTTCTGCCTTAAAAAACGAAAATTGTCGCGAAAATCCTTTTATAGGATAAGCACCATTTTTTTATCTTGAGTAGTTATTACTTAAATTACTTTTTGTCATATGAGCTTCAGTTCAGAAGGGGTTTAAAAAATTGCACAGCCATATAATGATTTTTCAAAATAGAGCACTATATGGGTAGTGGGCGAAAAAGTGGACCGATACAAACCATTTTCAATAGTGTCAATAGCGTTAAAAATTGCGGCCTATAGCTTGAACAAAAATTTACAAGGACAGACATCAGACGAACAGACAGACAGACGGACAGGCGGGCAAACAGATTTAAATCAACTTAGAAAAAGAATCCGAATCAGTTGGCATAATAAAAAGTAGGTCTATCTTAAGCCGTTTTGCGTGCTACATATGTCCGGACAAACTTAATATCCCTTGTAACATATATGGTGTAGGATATAAAACCAGTTCGAAGAAAAAATTAAACATATTTGAAATAGTATCGCATAGCTCGTCAGTTTATGACTTGTCTCCAAACCTTGGCGCGCAACTCCACTTTAATTATCTTACCACCTTGCCATATTCAGAAATGATCAAATTAAGAACCGAAATAGAGTTAATGATTTGGTATGCCTAATTGTCAGTAGAATAACTAACGAAAACATTTCGTTGGAGTAGAGTATGGAGAAGAGTATGCGATAAAGCGGTTCTAGATTTCATGACCTTTAGAGAAATCAATATCGTTGAAAGACAAATAAAAGGAGTATAGTGACGCTTTAACTGGAATTGAGAAATTTATAAAAATATTTAACTATTTTATAATAAGTAATAAAGATTTCACTTTTTGTAGGTGCCTGCAATAACTAAAATACCCAGAAATAGATCTTAGTCACAACAATGTGAAATTATATATATTTATTTTTTTATTTTTTTTTTTTTGTTGGTAGTACTGTCTACCTATTTAGACTTTTATGCCAATATATCCAACCATCACGAGTCGCACGTATTTGTGTATCATCACTATAGATGAAATTTGAATCTATGCATATGTCGTGCAAAAACGTGAACCAAAATCAAGATTGTCGCGGTTTTGGGGATTAGGAATGGGTTCCGTCAGGCCAAACAGAAAGTCTTAAGAAACTAACCAAAGCTATCTGGCTTTAAAAAATAAAGAGCTATCCATTTTATAAATAAACAAATTCCCTTAATTTCTTCATCAAAGTAGCACACTGCATAGACATTTTTTGAAAGATTATTTTTTGTACTCTGCGTCTCTTTTGATGCAGGATTAATTAAATTAGATGAATGTAACACCCGAGCGTTTTAAAATTGACCTAACTTTTACTATATCGATCGATTCAGAATCATTTCTCGAATCTAAGTTTGTCTATTCGCCTGTCGAATCTGAACTTATCTATTCGGCTGCTCACGTATGTTTGTGTTTGGCCTACAGGTCACAATTTTTAAGCTATTTTGGAGAAATCTGGTACGGGAACGAAATGGAAATGGATTGAATTTGGTGACGTCCACTCCACTATATATATCAAGCTATTTTGAGTAATTTTTGCCCAACATAACAGTTCTAAGGTATATTCTTTGTTATACATTAAGTGCAGCAAAAAGTTGTGTATTTGGTACTTTTACTATTCATCCATAAACGATTAATATATATAATATATATATTTTATATACAGTAAAAGCTCCTTATTCGCGGGGTATACGTTCCATAAAAATGCCACGAATACAGAAACCGTGATTACGGAATGGTAATTTATATGGGATTATAGGTAATACAATATAGGTGACAAAATAAAAAAAAATCAATTTACTTGAAGTTTTTGAACATTTTGATTAATTATCTTAAGGTTTAGGGAATGGTTTGAAGTTTTTTGTAAGTTCCTCTTGCTTGGCAGTTTTTAGAAGCTCCTTCAATTCAGAGTGAAATGCAGCAGTCGCATTAGCAATTTGCCTCTTAAAAATAAGACTTGGTTGCATAGACGGATCAATGTTCATAAAGAAATCGCGTAGGTCATTTGCCATTCTTAAACCTTCAGTAAGACTTTTCAAATTAAATGTCACGTTCCCAGTGCTTGTTGAAGCCTCTTCTTCAATGGACTGTGAATTTAACATTTCCTCCAAGTCGGTTTCAATCAAATCTTCATCTTACGATTCAAGCAATTCCTGAATATCACTTGATTCTACCTGTTCGAACCCATCTCGTCCTATTCCATTCGCGATTTCGGCTATGTTTGCAGTGAAAGTTTGAACTTGCACTGAGTCTTCGTCATTTTCCGCAGCCAGAGCAGGCCACAGTTTTTTCCAGCATGACTTTAATGTGTGTAGCTTCAGTTCTTCCAATGATTCTTTTATGTTTACGATGCTTTTTGCTACATCAAATTTCTTCCTGCACTCCATAACATTCATATCAGTGTTACATTCCATATTATCCAATATGATTTTAAAGGTTCGTCTAACGTAATAGAGCTTAAAGGCCTGGATCATTCCTTGGCCCATAGGTTGAAGCAAGCCGTCATGTTGGGAGGTAAAAATGTTGCTTTTATATTTGGATGCATAGTTTCAAGTTCGCGAGGATGACCTGGTGCATTGTCCAAAACTAGAACTGCTTTAAAGTCTAAATTTTGTTTTTTTAAATAAGTTTGAACTTCAGACACAAAACATTTCCGGAACCAGTCACAAAAAGTCCGCGAACAAAGAAATTTATAGCCGCGAATATAGGAATTGGGTCGCATTTTTTTAATCCACGAATAATGAAACTGCGAATAAAGGAAGCGCGAATAAGGACCTTTTACTGTACGTGTAATATCAAACTTAGAAAATGTAAATTCCACGGCAGACTATTTATAGATATAAAGCGATTTGGTTCAAACTAACAATAATAATACTGTCTTATTATACAAATGTATGAATTGACAACAATAAGCACCGTTACCAACGAAATAGCAATAAAATCAAATGAAATGAAAGGATAATGCTAATGATTTTTTTAACGCGTATAAATGTATCCAATAAACACGATGACAACGGCAGACATTGTTTTTTCATAAAAATGAAAGTTGAAGGAATTTTTTTTAAATATTTTCATTATATTCCTACTAATTGTCAAAACAAAAAAAAAGAAGAAGAAGAAAAGCTTTCAGATTATTTCACAAAAGTTAATAACCAACTAAAGCAACGTTATATCTGTCCGTCTGTTCATCTACCTGATGTCAATCGAAGTATTTTTATGTTTAACCCAAAGTTCGGAACTCACAGCCATACAAATATTCTTACAAAAACTAATTCTATATATGGCAATCAGATCTACAATTGGATATTTTAGAATTAAAATTGTTACAAAATAGTTGTTTGCCATGTATATTTGCCGCACTAAGCTTGCTTAGTGTAGATCCATTATTCGCACCTTTCCCTTTTATTAGGTTTCTTATGAGAAGTAAACTTTTATGTAATGCTAATAGTTAATGACAAAACAAATAAAGAGTGATCGATTTTTTAATAAAATAACCAAGTTCTAACTACGACGGTTTTCACGAGATGCCAGCCTTTGTTTGACAACAAGCAGGAGAATTATAGTAAACGTTATCTTATAGTTAGCCTAACAAGATTACAATATTTTGACATTGCGGTGTATGGTATCTAACAGTGGCCTAGCCCGACTACTATGTTTTGACTTGTTTTGTTTTGAAGTTTTGAAACGCCTGATAAAATATTCATATTAAATATTGCAGGTTATAAGCATTGTCGTCAATATTTTAAAATTTTCTGTGGGCCAAAGTTTTTATTTCAGTGATTTTTGTTCTTTTAGTTTGCTATCTATGGACGAATAACGTCTATTTTGAAATTTCACCTAGGAAACTATATTAAAATGAATCGCGTAAAGACACTTATTTCAATTTGCTAAAAGGATATCTGCAACTATAGAGTTTTCAACGAGAGGCCAACGGTAGAAGGTCGGACCTATGGACAGACGTAGCTAAATTAGTAACTAACTTTAATTAAAACATATGTGCATACTTACCACATGCTATTTCGTTTTTGCAAGCGGAACGATACAACTAGTATATCCGCATGCTTCGATGGTAGATATAAAAAAAAAAGACGCTACTTCTTAAAATAATACGGTGAGTGGAAGACAATACATACTTTCTGTTCTTTCTTTTTATTTTCAATTTAAATCTTCTTTTTTTCTCCTGGTAAGCTGTATTCAGTGTTTGCCCAGGTGTCAAGTACAAATGTTCGTTTATATTAGAGATGTTGTCTATATCTATTTATATATATATTTTCAAAATGAACATCATTATCGTTATTATTTTATAATAATTTATATTACCATAAGATCTCTTTTGACAAGTGAACTTTCAAAGAAAGTGCTGAAATAAATATTTTGCAGATGGATTAATTAAAATAGAACATTTTTATATTTTTTTTAACATTTTTATAAATTTTACTTATACATATATATATATACTTATACATATATATATATATAATATATACATATATTTCATTTAACACATCTCAAATTCTTAAATATCATTAAGCCATACTTTTCACATACATACTTTGCATACTTTGAGTACATACATGAAAGCATAGGTAAATGGTTAATTCTTACTTATGCATTGTTCACCATCGTCTACTATGATCGTAATTGTCAGCACTTATTAGGTATGTTGATTTCATCGAATGGCTGTTATGCTTATATATACATAACAGGTACGATTGCGACACTTTTTAATAAATCTATTACACAAAACTTTAGTGCCTTCTAAAATAAACAAGAGAAAGAGGTATAATCATTTACTTCCACTTAATTGATTTAAATGAGTCTACGTGTCTTTTGGTTTCATACAAACGTTCAAGACCCATGAGAAAGTACAATTTCAATTCAAAAATTGAACGTTAAGGCATAGAAGTTGAATTAAATGGAAATAAATAAAAAAGCTACAAAGAAA